CCCCCCGGTCCATGTGCAGCCCCTGGCCCATCGTCCAAAAAGTGTGCCCCCCACAATTAATGGAACTTTGTAATTTGGAGTGAGCAAAATTAAGTTCAACGAAACGACACATAGGAAGAGCAATTTTTTAATTATAGCTTTTGGGGAAAGATTTATCTACATCACTCACTAAAAGGGTGGCTAGCCGTCAACCAAATTTTTATCTGACCCCTTTGGTCTGGTTAGGAGCTTCGCCGTCGAACGCAAGAGACCCGAGTTTGATCACGAATGGGGATAATTTATATGGAGTACCTCGTTCTTTTTAACTGAAAGTTGTATCCCTTTCAGCCCGGGTTGGTCCTGACAGGCAGGGTAGGAAGACACCTTTCTCATATAACTCTGTAACTTCCTACTGGAATTGCAGTGTAATTAATTAAGAAGTGTATTTCCAACAACGTGCATTGACTCTGGCATAATTCTTGCTCTGTACGAGTATATTAAGCCTACGCTTTTATCCACATTAATTTTTTTCTAAACGGTAGATATAAGCACTGAATGTCAAATGTGGACACATCCCATGCAACAACAACAACAACAACAACAAAAACAACAACAACAACAATAACCACAACAACAACGACCCTTTAGTTTATATATAGTATAGGGTTTTACGGCGCTCGCAACTGCTAAGGTCATATGAGCCCTTTAGTTTGAGAAGGTGTGGGCTGTATTAATGTTCCGAACAGTAAAGGTTAGGCCTACATCCGAACATAAATACACAAGAGAGTCAAAATGAACAGAAAAACCGCAAGAAAAATGTGCATGTGTAACTTAACAGTCTTCAAAAGAAAAGTTCGCTTGTTGGATACACTATTCTCTTTTGCCGGGGAAGAGCATTTCCTGGTTGCCAAAGGGAAGGTAACTCTGTCCATTTGTGTGATGATTGCGTCCCTTGCCCCTGACCACGCCCCCGGACCGGTGAGTCGGTATTGATATGGAGAGCACGGCCCACAAACGCATCGATACAGTAACACTGGGTCACGCAACAAGAGCTCTCCTGAAAGGGGTAAAAAAATATATATTGTAAAAATAAACTCACACGCGCC